CGACTACTACTACTACTACTACTACTACTACTACTACTACCCCTACTCCTACTACTACTACTACTACTACTACTACTGCTGCTACTACTACTACTGCTACTTATGCTGCTTCTTCTTCTTTCAGCTTGCCTCCCAGTCGTTGTACGGTTGTGCTTTCCTGGAAGATGGTACGCAACTTTTCCTGGCCTCGCTTCAGCTTCTCCAAGAGGAACCCGGCCAGGTCAGACTGCTCGAACCTGGCACATTGTCTAGGGCATAGGGGCTTAAAAGGGGGCTTAAATGGGGGGCTTAAAAGGGGGGCTTAAGGGTGGCTTGAGGGGGGCTTAAGGGGGCTCCCCTTCCGGGTATAGGGTTTTGGGGTTTAGGATTCGCATTGGCATCGGCATGCGCGTTTTTTTTCATGAGCACTAGCATTAGCTATCACACCGGCATCCGCATCAGCATTCGCTGTAACAGTGGCACTCGCACGAGCACTAGCACGGGCTGCAATTTGCCTTAACATCAGAGTATGGCTTCTTGTAAACAGTATGTAGGATTCAGTACAACTTTCTATCGTAGTTCGCAAATCGTATATCGCGTAGAGCGAAGAGTACAGCGGATAGAATATACAGTATAGAGTATAGAGTATATGGACCAACGACTTATAGGCATCGAGTATAGAGCGTACAGTATGGAGTACAGAACTTGGAGTATGGAATTATGGAGTGTATAGTATATTGTATATGGTTGTGTGTAGCATGCGGTGTGTAACTGCGGCTTTCGGACTTAAGGGCTTAGGGCTTGTGACTTTGCGGCCAGACCAGATTGGGATTGGCCTAAGCACCCATCCAACCCGAACACACACACACACACACACACACACACACCTCACCACTACAAAAGCACTGCATGGGTCCCTAGCCTAACCAGATAGCATTCCTAGAACCAATTTTTTTTTTCAGCTAGGACCATGAGTCCTTTTCAAAGCCAAGCCTAGACCTTAGCCTCCGCGGAGCCTCACCATCTTGGTCGACATCTTGGAAGGAAGCTCGGTGATAGTCGCCTGATGGTACCCGAGCCCGCGCGGGTGAAGTTCAGGAGATTTGGCAATACCACATTAGGGGTGTAGGACGTGCTACTTAGCTGCTTGTGGCTTCGGCCGGCTAGTATTTTGAAGCAGCTGAGGTTGACAACTTCTGGCCCAACAATTGCGTCTTGCAGTCTCGGTTTCGCACGTTCTGGATTCCTGAACCAAGAACCCTACGAACCCCCGGTTTGGAGCCCCTACACTCCCAAGCTGATCCCCGAAACCCCAAACTAAACCACCAGCCCTTAAGCCGCGTTACCATGACCACGACACTCGCAAATTTTATCGCTCTGTTCGATTGGCCACCACACTCCATGACGATACCGATTCCTACCATCTTTAATACCAGTGATGTCGGCTGTGTGACTAATTCCCAAACCCTGTAGCCTCAAAAGCCGTGACTGTAGACGCCCTAACCCGAAACCCTGTGCTGCCTGCATGGCCTTCACCACGAAGTCTTTCCGATCCTTGGCCCAGGCGGCGGCCTCGCCCCGGCAAGACCCGGTGCTCTGTGTCTTTCCATAACAGCCTTTACCAACAAGAAATCTATGTTAGTGACTGCTAGTGGGTGATGCTAGTAGCAGTCATGATAGCAGCAGCAAGAACAACAGCAGCAGCAGCAGCGGCAGCAGCAGCAGCAGCGGCAGCAGGTTGAGAAGCAAGAGTAGCAGTAGTAGTAACCGTTGTCGTCGTGGTCGTGGTCGTCGTGGTCGTCGTGGTAGTCGTAGTAGCCGTAGTAGTCGTAGTAGCTGTAGTAGTCGTAGTAGTCATAGTAGTCGTAGTAGTTGTGCTAGTCGTAGTCGCAGTTGCAGTAGCACTACTTCTACTACCACTAGTACTACTGGTGCTAGTACGAGTACCCCAAAACCCTAAACCTCGAAACAGAAACAGACCCTAAACCCTACTCCAAGCCCGAAGCCTTACAACCTGGACAAACCATGGAACCCTTGAAGTAGCCCTTGAAGTTGAAGAGGAAACCCAATGAAACCCATACATGAAACCTTAAAGCCCCAAGACCCTAAATCCTGAAACCCTAAACCCCGAAACCCTAAAACCCTAAAGCCCTTAAACCCCAAGACCCTCAACCCTGCACCCTTGAAGGAAGCCTCCAGGGGGTCCTCTAAGGGGCTCCCTTAAAAATCGAACCCGGAGGGGCTCCTATTTCAAGGACCCACCCCCCTCTTTAAGAAGGCCTCCTTTAAGGGAGGCCCTTAAGGGCACCCTACTATAGAACCCCATCCTAAACCCTAAACCCTAAACCCTGCCTCGGGTTCTGGAGTGAACTCTGCGGCCGGAACGAGGACGTGGCGACTTCGAACCTGACAGAAGCACCCGGCGGGTGAGGGTTTAAGAGGGTTAGGGATGACCGTGGTTTAGGGTTTCGGATTTAGGTTTAGGGTTTAGGGGTTTTGGGCATCGGGACTAGGGATAGGGATTAGGGTTTAGTAAATTTAGGGTGGGTTTAGCGGTTTAGGGGTTTCGGCGTTTAGAGTTAACGGATTAGGGCGTCGGGGTTTAGGGTTTAGGGAGTATGGGGGTTTAGGGTTAAGGAGGTATGGGGACTAGGGCGTCGGGGTCTAGGGTTAAGGGGGTATGGGGTTTAGGGCTTATGCGTTTAGGGTTTAGGGGTTTTGGGGTTTAGGGTTAAGGGGGTATTGGGATTAGGGCGTCGGGGTTTAGGGTTGAGGCGGTATGGGGTTTAGGGCTTATGGGTTAGCGGTTTAAGGGCTTAGGGCTTCGGGTTTAGGATTTAGGGGTTACGGGTTTCGGCTCTGGTGAAGTCGATCTATTGGGTTCCATAAACCCTAAACCCTAAACCCTAAACCCTAAACCGTTCTAGACGGATTCTGCAATGCTTCTACAAGGATGTTTATGATTTCTGTAGAGTTGCCTCAGGCCTTGCGGCCTTTGGGATAAGGACTTGGGGGGTTCAAGGTTTGGCTGTGAGGCGCAAGGCCTTGGGGGTTCCGGGTTTAGGGCTTGGGATCATGAGGTTAAGGCTTGGGGTTTAGGGTTTAGGGTTAGGGTTTAGGGTTTAGGCACAAGCTTTCGGCTCGCATTGAAGCTCTGATGGGCGTAGGGGTGCAGAGTGAGCACTTATACCCAAAACCCAGGCCCTAAATCCTAAACCGAAACCCCCGAAAGCCAAGACCCTGAAAGAACCCAAACCCCCGAACTCGAAACCCTAAACCCTCTATCATATTATGCTACATTCAGTTCCATTATACCATATTCTATCCTATTCTATTGTACCATATTCTATTCTGATTATGCCATATTCGGTTCTATTGTTCTATTATACCATATTCTATGCATTTGTTCATTCGTTTTCTATTGTATTGTATGACTCAGCTTTCGGGCCAAAAGCCTCGCCCTCAGCCGTCCACCACACATCCACGATGGCTATGCTTGCACCATCCTTGCCGGCGACGCAGGACACGTCGAAAGGGTCGTCGTGTTTGTTTTTTTTGGGGGGTGGGCTAAGGTTGGAGCTTTAGGGCTTGATTATAGGGCTTTAAAGGCTTCAAGGGTTTGAATGGCTCGAAGGGCTTTTGGTCTTAGGGCTTAAGCTTTGGCTTCATCTCGGGCTTGTTGAAGTGATGAGGGTGACATGGGCAGCTTCGGATCGTCTTGAGGTTATCTTGGGAGCTTCTTGCCTTGTCTATTTCGGGGATTTCCAAAAATAGGGGACCCCAATATAATACCCTAAATCATAGGATCCTTATTATAAGGACCCCAAAACATAAGGTACCCTAACTTTCGGAAACTCCCAATCTCGGGGCTGAGCATTTTACATAAGCTCCTCAACTGCCATCCCCACATCCGGGTTTCACCTGTCAACTCTTCCGAGCATCCTGGTCCTGAGTTCGAGTTTCTGAATCCAAAGATTGACGCCCTGTTCCAGACTCACTTGGGAGTTTCAGAAAATTAGGGGTCCCTTATTTTGGGGTCCTTATAATAGGGATCCTACTATTTAGGGTACTACATTAGGGTCGCCTATTTTCGGAAACCCTCACTTCATGGGCACCCTGAATGGGCCTAGACCTTTATTCTAAAGTTTGGGGTCCTGAACCGCCCTAAACCTTGAAGCCCTGCCTAAACCTGGACCCCACACCCTCAAGCTGTAAGAAGCCCAAATACCCCAAACCCTAAACCCTCAACCCTGAACCCTCAACCCTCAACCCTAAGCCCAAATACCCAGAACCCCGGTCCTGGCCCGTCTTGACAATCAAGGAATCGCCCGCGCGCTCCTCGAAGACAGTGTGCTCGTGGCCGCCCAAGATCACAGGCACCTGTTCGCAGTGGTTGAAGGTTTAGGGTTTAGGGTTTAGGGTCTAGGGCCTAGCAGGGTTTACTGACAAAGGCTTAGGGCACAAGGTTCACTGTGATGCTACGAAACACCCGAAACACCACTACTAAAACCCGGAAGCTGGAATCCAAAAGAGAAGAAGCTAGGAAAAGCCGGCAGGTCGCGTGGCTGTTCCTAGTTCTACAAGCCCCCCAGGGCTGCCTTCCCTTTCAAGGTGGGGTCCTTCTGTATCTCCAAGGCGAAAGAGCGATCTTCCTGGGTAGTTGTCAAAATTAAGGTCCCTTTTGGGGTACCCTAAATAACAGGTGCCGTATTATAATAAGGACCCAAAAAGGGACCCTAAACCCTAAACCCTAAACCCTAAATAATATTATAATAGGGACCCAAAAAGGGACCATAATTTTGACAACCACCCTCCTCGATGAGCTGGTGGGTCATGGGCACGAGGATGTCGGGCTTCTCCCCGGCGGCCGACTGTGCAGGGTTTAGGGTTTAGGGTTTAGGGTTTAGGACGTTTTGCTTCGGGTTCAGACGTTGAGGCTTCTGGGTGCCGTGGCGAAGAACGCTGGAAGCGATCTGATGCGCAACTTTCTGCTGCCAGCTACCCTGCGATTTGGGGGTTTAAGGCCTAGGGTGCTGCAGAAGCTTTCAGTTCTTCCACGTGGAAATGCCGGATGGAGCAACACTGACGAAAACCCTAAACCCTAAACCCTAAACCATAAGGTTCAGCTTCAAGCTCAGGTAAGTCAACATTAGCCCTCCTCCATCCATGATGTGTCTGTGGAACATTGACTCGAGACACCTGATCTTACATGTGGGTAGTTCTCTAAATTAGGGTCCCTTTGAGGGTCCTTTTTATAAGGGTGCCGTACTAAATTGGGGACCTAAGAAGGGACCCTAATTTAGACAACTACCCATGTGTTTTTATGTTTCGAAACTCATTCCAAAACTCAGGATGCCTGCCTTCCACGCCGTCAGGCAAGAGTCCAGGAATGGGAGCATTGTCGGACAGCCTTTTTCCTGAGCTGCTCTTTGCTGCAGCACCCCCATGTCACAAACTGAACAAATGGGTTTAGGGTTTAGGGTTTAAACCTGTTGTTTACTCACCCTGGCTTGTATTGTAGTCGCACGGACCATCCAAAATGGCCTACTAATCGAACCAGCCAGGGGAGTTTGGCATGAATCCCCCCAATATCGCGTGGTTCCGGCGTCGAATCCAGATTCCGGATAACTTCACATGCTGTCGACATCCTGTACGCCCTCAAAACACTAAGCCTTCTACCTCCCCATCTAGGTTGCTACAAGCATGAAATCCTAAGCCCTAAACAGCTACAAGTATGAAATCCCAAGCCCTATACTCCAAACCCTAAATAGCTACAAGTATGAAATCCCAAACCCTACACTCCAAACCCTAAAGACTCTAAACCCTAAACCCGAAACCCTAAAGACTCTAAACCCAAAACCCCTAAACCCTAAACCCTAACCCCTAAACCCTAAACCCTAAACCCTAAACCCTAAACCCTAAACCCTAAACCCTAAACCCAAAACAAAAAAGGCGGCACCAATCCAGGCCCCATTTTCAGCGTAGATCGACTTATCTCCGGTGCAGAGGCCGGCCATGAGAACTTTTCGGCTTCCAACCTCGAGGATGTCGTACCTGGGTTTAGGGTTTAGGGTTTAGGGTTTAGGCTTTGGGTTTTTGGGGTTAGGATTTAAAGGTTTAGTGGTTTAGGGTTTAGCGTTTAGGGCTTAGGGAAGATGATTGTACAGATGATGCTACAGGATTTTAGGGCTTAGGGTCCGGAACAATGTAGGGTTCGGACGACAAGTAAACCTAAAAAGCTTCACACCCACGCTCTAAACCATAAACCGTGCCACCCAGGTACTTAGGTAAGCTGCGTAATTCGGCGTCCTCGCCGTTTGTGTTCACCAGCTTGCCTGCATTGACTCGAGACTTCAGCTTTCGGATTCTAGGTTGCCGCTATGCTTTTTTTTAAGTGCAGTAGCCTCGTTCCATCTTCATGTTTGGGGTTGAGGGCTTTTGGGTTTNNGGGTTTCGGGCTTAGGGAGTTTAGGGCCACGGGTTTCAGAGTTTGGAGCTTCCAGGATGAGGCGAAGAGCAGAGTTCGGCATTGAGGGTTCCAGGGTCTAGCAACCGGGACCTTACTGTTGTGAATGCATTGCAACTTGTTGCAGCAATCCGGAGTCCACGTACGACTTTGTCGCCTATTCTTGGTCTTGGTGGGGCTGGTAGTGACGAGCGCGTTCACGCATTGCAGAATACTGTGTCAAAACGGGGCAGCGTCAGCCGCAGCCCAGTGTGAATGAAAACAAACCCCTGTAATGTCATCGGTCAAAAAGGAAATCTGAGACTGAACTTAATTAGGACCCGCACCGNNCCCCCCCCCCCCCCCCACCCCCCAACCCACCCTCCTCCAGGCCTTTGAAAAGCGGCAGCCGCGTCTCAAGCTGCCTTTTGTCCATGTCAAACTCGTGGTTTCCCAGGCACGCATAATCCAACTTTCCATAGTTCAAGCCCTGCATCATAGCAGTTCCACCATCCAGGGCAGTCTGGAGGCAAGGGGACAGAAAGTCCCCGTTCAAGTGCGACGTCACGACGCATCCCAGAGACTCACCCATCTTTCGGTGTGTCAGGACTGCCGAGGCCAAATTTGCATAATTATCCAGGATGTATACATCATTGATGCTAAGCATGCGCAGAAACTGCCCCGAAGCACCAGGAGGTCTGCCGACACGAGCATCTGCCTCGAAGGGCAGTTGGAAATTGATGCTGCCTACGGATCTGATGTCTCTGGCTCCTGCCAAAAAACAGCGCACAACCTTGTTAGTTAGATGGACGTGGGGGAGTAAAGAAGAATTGACAACTTCACCACAACCAGAACCAACATCATGACCAATGCCATCACAACGGCCGTAAACCTTCAGCAACATGATACCGGGACAATCTCAACAATGGCGCGGATATTTAGTGTGAATAGTAGCAGCAGCCATGCTCTGCTTCTACTGCTACTACTGCTACT